GCTTCCCGGCCGGCCGTTGAAGTTACACAGCCGGCCGGGAAGCTGCTCGTCGGGCCCCGCCGTCTTCTCGTCACAGACGAGCGGATTTTTCAAGCCCTGCCGATGTCACTGCACACACACCTCTGCTTTTTTTTGTCCTGCAAGAGAAGGAAGCACCATCAGAGTGCTGTTTTTGTGTGTCAAGCCTCATTAAAGGCCCATTCAAAATGAACTGGCTGCTTTAACACAACCTGTTTAACACAACCTGTATTAATGTGTTCACATAGGTAATCCAGCGTCAATTATAACGTCCAACGTTGTCCGCGTCGACTTGACAAAATTAAAATAATAAATAAAACATTTGTTTGAAAAAACGACGCACGCCGTCACCTGAGAGAGTCTTCTAGCAGGTCCCGGCCACTTTTTTTATTGATCTATTGTAATGTAATGACACTGATCTGTCATTACAACTGGGCAGAGCCAGCTGTGAGATCATTTCCCAGCTGTCATTTGCGTGGATTTGCATTTTTCTCCATGCTTCAGCTGTCACTTCAGCTCAGTCGAGCCGAAGCATATGCCTTCGGCTTGGCTGAGCCGCTCGGCTGCCTTCAGCTGCTGTACGGGCTATTGTGAATAGCTTGTACAGCAGCCCCTCAGGGGGCCGAAGGGCTCAGGCAGCCGAAGCGAGCTGAAGGATCAGCCAAAGTTACGGCTGGATCCTTTGGCTCCATAGCGAATAACCCACATGATCTAAATACTTTTTGTATGTTTAGTACCCCCATGCTCATCCCCAACAGTTTGCTGGCAGAATCTACCAGCAATTAGCTGGGACTTGTTCTTTAACATAGGAGCAGATATTTCTGCTTTTGTATAAATTGACGCTCTGCAGAACAGTGTTTGCAATGTCAATGAGAGTTATGATGTAGCAATGTTATTTATGACTTCATTGTAACTCCTCTGGTTCCATCATACCAGATCGAAGGGATGATTTGCATATGATGTTAGTTAAAACAACCTTGTAAAAATAAATAAAAACTCTTTGTTAAACCTAATTAGCCCTTATTAACCCCTTCTTCCCATTAGCTATTTTTTTCCTTATTTTTGTTTTACCATTAATATTTACATTTATATTTATTCCTTATTTTTTAGTAACTCATTTAAAAAAAAAACAATTGTATTTCTTAACTTTGTAAATAACCAACACATTATGGAATACAATGTGCACTTTTTTTTAATCTACAAGCAAATGCGTTGTTTTAAAAACTAACAATGGTCAAAATAGAAAAAAAACGTCTTTTGTTTTAATGATTTTTTTTGTCTATTTATTCCATAGAAAATATGCAAGGCAATATTGCCAAGAGAAAGCCTTATTTGTACCAAGAAATATATGATAAATGCATTACTTTGTTATGTTACGTAATGACATTTTCACAACATCAATAGCAGATAGCAGAAATATAAAAAGTGCTCTAGTCCATAAGAGGTACACGGGTACAAGAGCTGGAGTGGTTTAAGAAATGTTTTTCCCTATGTACTTTATTTGATAGCTTTATCACACACGTGACCCATAAATGTGAAACACAATGCTCTAATGACAGCAACCAGCACTTTGTCTCCACTATACTAACAGCCATGATGGTGTTTGTGCAGGAAAGGGTCCCAGGATCTCCACTTCATCTTCACTTGACTGGCAGCAGGTGCAATCATAACACTTCTGACAGCAGTTTCTGCATGTCCATCGGCACAGCAGCAGATCCGAGATTTTGGACAGAAAACCCTGGAAAAAAAAAAGCAGGAAGCACTAGTTTAATGAATGCCATTTTTCTGAGGATAACCCTTCTTCGGCAATCATTTTGACATTTGCAACATCTGTACCAGACATAGAATCTTGCAACATTTAAGGAAGCTCAGTCATATATACATATTTACCCTGTGACTATATGTGGATAATGGTACAAAGACACTCATTCTTTATATATTTATATATTAAAGTTTAGATTTGTTCATTCTGCCACATTACACTACTGAACAAATGAATGGAAATGGCGGCAGATCTTCTGCAATACATGCTTCTTCCAGGTTAGTCATGATGTCAGACTCCAAACCAAAGGATTAGCATGACAGCCAGGCAAATAGAAATTTCAGAATGAGGAATCAGCAACTTCCATGTTTCTAAAATTGATTCTGTCACTAGGTTGAACCCTTTAACAAAAGCACTCCCTGTAAAGAAAAGCATGAATATTTAACTGTCCCATAAGCCATGCCACTGTTCTTCAGCATCCAGTAGACAACACACTGGGCATATCAGATGGCTGATTATCGTCTGTGCTCTGTTGATCCATTCACCAACCCCTGTGTTACTACAGGATACATCACTGTCCAGCAAAGCTCACGCAAGGCTCACACAAAGCTCAGCTGGGGACCAGGCATCTGATCGATGGGACAGGTAAGTGTCAATTGTTTTCTTTACAGGAATTGCTTTTTTTTTACTTTTTAATTTATCTTTAGGCTTTTTAATCTCAGCTTGTCAACCTTTGTCTGAAAAGCTTACCCTACTAAAGAGTGGATGAGGAGATGGGATGTTTGAGGTGGTGAAGTTGCATATAGGGAGAGCTCAAACAATAGAGGAGATTGGAGTTGGAGATCGAGTGACATCTCACTAGACACGGTTTGATCATCTGGTGGGAGATTGGTGGATACCTTAGTATATGCTGTTTGACCATCTTGAAAAAGAGGTCATTCATTTCTGGGGAGTGCTGATTTATATACCTTATATGCACAGCAGGTAGAATAACACTGATATCAATTAGAGGATATACGGCACAGAAAGATTGAAGGTGTTTTTGCACAATATAAATGGACTTCATTATTTTATGTTTTACATAGTATGATGGACATTTTATGGTGATATATAAGACTTCACTGTGATTTATTTATTTTTTGAAGTTTCATGGTTATTCGAATAATTGTATATTTAGATAGTTATATTTGTAGCGCAGTGCAATTTTTCATCTAACTACAGGCTACATCAGTGACATAGTGACCAGCAAAGCTCGCACAAAGCTCAGCTGGGGACCAGGCATCTGAGCAACGGGACAGGTAAGTGTCAATTGTTTTGTTTACAGGAATTGCTTTTTTTTTACTTTTTAATTTATCTATTTTGCTTTTTAATTCATCTACTGAGCTGCTTTAAAGCCTATCACCAGGTTAAAAAAAAAAAAAACTATCCTTGCAGTGTGGCTAACCCAGCACTGCAACCCCTTAACTGCTCATTTTTGTCTATGGGGATTCTGTAAAGCAGTTTTGCTTACCTGATCCCCACTTCCTCGGCAGCCAACACTCACCTCTTTCCCCTCCAATCCGACTAGTGGACTGTCCCTTGGCATCCTCACTTTTAAGGCAGAACTATGGACCCAGCATTAATCATAATGCAGTCCGTGGGCCTCCGACTGCCATAGTGGAGGGGGAAAGAGGCTGCGGGTGCCAGCGGGAGTACGGATCAGTACGGGCCGACGGGGAGCGAGGCGGTACGTGCTGGGGGCGAGGCTGGGGAATGCCTCACCCGGAACCAGAGGTACCACACGTCACTGGACTTTAGAGCTACAAATGCAGTTTGGCACAGAGCCCGCTCCGCTTATCTCTTTTTTTAACCTATTTTTTACCTATTTTTGTAATTTAACTTTACTTCATTTTTATATTATTTTATATTTTCACATTTTAAACTATTTTTTTTATTTGTCCAACAAATATGAATTTAATATGCAGTGTTTCCACAATATTTTTTTTATAGTATTCCAAATTTGTAAAAAGAACTCTAATGACACTAGTTTTGCAACACAAGCTGAAAACACAGCGGTATCTTTTCCCTTTTAATACCTCTCTCTATAACTGGATCTGAACACTAGACATTCCTCTTACAGGCAAAATTCAAGAGCATAGCTTTGTATCTACACACTTACAGAAAGTACTTCAACTATGTAAAGCTAGAAACATTCACAAACATGTATAAAAGGTTCATTGATCCTGTACATCTATGTAAGGTACTGGCCATTTGGATCTATGGGTAACTTAAAGGGGAACTCCAGTCAGTAAACTATCCACACTGCGAGGGATAAGTGCTTGTTTTCATCAAATATAACAACAACAAATATATACTCACCCGAATCCCAGACCCGGCTGGCTGCTAGACTGGTCTCTGCAGCCTTTCTCCCCCCTTTGAGTGAGTCATCACTTCCAATATAGTGTATTGGACGTGAGGACGTCTAGGGAAAAACCCTTGCCAGAGCAGAGAGGAAGAGGGGTGGCAGGGATATTCACGTGAATCTTGGACCCGGCCAGCTGCTAGACCGGTCCTTGCAGCCTCTCCCCCCTCTGTATCCGTAATGTCCAATACACTGTATAGGACATGATGACTCAAGGGTTCTTAGACTGCCAGAGCAAAGGGGGACAGAGGCTGCAGGGATCAGTCTAGCAGCCAGCCGCGTCCAAGGTTTGGATGAGTATGTCTTTGTTATCTTAGAGCCTAGACGGAAACGAGCACTTAACCTTTGCAGTGCAGGGGTAGCCCCCCTGCAAGTTCAGTTCTTCTGAACTGAAATGATACGTCAACCCATTGCTTGAATTACATTTCCCCCTCTTAACACAACAACACAGAAATTTCTTCAGATGGTGTCATAGGTAATTGGGTGATTGTTACATGCACTCACCTCATTTATTGGCTCCAACTGTCCTTGTTGATATTCACAATGAAGCAAACGGAAAACATGAAAGAAAAGTATAAAATCAATTTAGTGTTTTACAGACAGGTAAAGAATATGTGTGTGTTAAATGGCGACGTAGCACGACAAGTCACGCAATATCGCACATATAAAATCGCACGGAAAATCGCACGATTTTTATGTCGCTCAGTGTAAATGGGGCCTTAGGGTTTGAATGAGGGTGTCTGAATTAAACTGTCCAGGTAAATCTAGATGAAATCTATGCTGCACAGATGGTTTCACCTTCCAGTTTTTCCAGTGATTTAGCTATATTCTGTTAATTACTAATATTCTGTTTGATTTCAATGTATAGGAAGTGTGTAACATAATATACATTCAGGCACAAACACACAATATTACCAAACTCTGGAGACTGCTACAATTTTGTTAGTTGAACAAAATCCTGCAATCTATATGCAGCTTCTGGACTCTGTTCTCGCACTTCAGGACCAATGACTGGGGCATTTTTTCTCCCACTGAACACTGCTGTGGGACACATTTTCCGTTCCACTGACCCCCATACCAGAGCATTTTTTCCTCCCAATGATGCTAGGTCAGTTTTTCCCCACCAACACCATGGGATTTTTTCTTCCATTGACTTCTGGGCATGTTTTTTCTCCCATTGACCTCAATCGCTGTTGGTTTGCTTAGTAACTAACTATTTTAATGAAATTAGGCTCCGACAAAGTTGTAGCTCCTTTTTCATGAGGAAAATGTGTGAGACTGTTGCTTGTGGCTCAGCTATGGCTAAATTTCAGTGCAATGTAGTCACACCAACATTTCGTACCGTACGTCAGCTCCACATTAGGGTGGTCTCTTTCTCAAATTCTAAAATTGGGAGTCATGTACAAGCAGCAGCAAAGTTGGGTGAGAGCTACCTACTGTATAATGTAGTGTAGCCCCCAAATCCTAGGTCACTGCCTATAACCATACTATAACCAGTCAGTTATCTTTCAGCAGTTTAGGCCAGACAATGTAGTATCCTACTTTGGCTTGGAATAGTCTGTCATCTATGCAAATGCTGCTACCCTCTTTTTATCTGACTTGGGATGCTTTACTTTTTGCAGAGATTTTCCAGTGTGCAGTACTAAAGTGTGTAGAATACTGAATATTGAATTCTTGTGGTTGTCTACTGTACTCTTTACAATATACTAATATCGGGAAACTACAAAGTTGCTAAGTAGAAAAGAAACAGCCCAAGAATAAATTGATTATTGAGTTTACTTACTTACGATAAGGGGGCATTTCCTTCTTCTTCTTACCTCAGTGTAAGTGGGCTGACTAACATTTCAAGGGAGAACTTTTCCACTGTCTACCAGTGTATGAAGGCACGTAACTCCTAAGATGAAACATTGTAAGATGTTGATCCCGGCAGTTATCTGATCTCCCTTTGGGAAACATGAAGAATTTGTTTCCCCCTGTTTGTGCAAATTTGACAAAAGGTTTCTTTGCCTTCCTCTGGATCAACTGTAAGTAAAGGGCTGTCACAAGTGTAAATGCAAGTTTTGTTTTGTTATGGAGCAATGCAACTTTATTCAACTTACAGTATATAACAGGTATCCAATTACATCATTATAAGCCATATTTTACATTGTATTATTGACTTTCTCTCTATACATGTACATTGGCTGTTGTTAATGGAATACATTGTGCTGTTTACATCAGCAGTTATTTCTGCTGTAGTGAAATAATTAGCTGCCTTGTTATGGAAACATTAAAACCCTCTTTGCTCTGGGTTAAATTCTGGTCATTACTGGTTAGTTAACAAAAAGGCCTAAGATAGCACTAAAACATTAACTCTCATTAATTTGGCTGTTATCAAATGTTCCTCATGGTTTAGCAATCAGAGTCTAAAGATCAATGCTTCTGACTAATTTGCAATGATACTGCCACATCTGCCAGTAACTAATGAACCCTTTAAGGCTTGCCTGGTAGGTAAACATGCTTGTATTTATTAAGAATTGTGGATTTTGTCCATGTATTCAAAGCTGTTGATTTTGATATAACTGGACAATGTTCACCTTGGAGTGATATTAAAGTCAAAAGGTTTTTAAGCAAGTTCAAATGCTGATTAAACTACATAAATGGATGCTGACCCTTGATGTTTAAAAGTTTTAGGGGGTTATTCACAAAGCTGCCGAAGGCAGCCAAGTGAATAACCTAGCTGAAGTGAATGAAGCGAGCCGAACGACATTCGGCTATTCACTCCGGCTCATTACGGCTGATTTCAGCCGTATATCGTCTGCCTTCGGTCAGCCGAACGTGCTCTGCATGTTCGGCTAAGCCAAAGTGCAGAGCGACCTCGACTCAGCCGATCCAACATCTGGATCGACTGAGCCGAAGCAGCATTCGGCTCTGCTATTCTGCTCGATATCTCCGAGGTACCGAACAGAATAGAAAATAAGTGAAATGAATGATTAAAAAAAAAAAGAGTTGAAAAATGATTTACAAAATGTAAATAAATAGGAAAATAAAAAAAATTTAAAAGTTTAAAGAAAAGAAGAAAAAAAAAAGAAAATTCAAAATATTTTTTTTAAATGCCCGCAAAGATGCCGGCAAAAGAAAAACAATTGGGCAGATCTAACTGTTTCCTATTGGCCGGCACCTGCCAGAGTCTTCAAGCTCTCTCCGCCCAGTTGTTATTGTTTAATGACAGATCAGTGTCCACCCAGCTCGGCTGCCTTCAGGCTGCTGTACGGGCTATTGTGAATAGCCCGTACAGCAGCCCTTCAGTTCGACTGCAAAAATAGAAATACACATTAAGGTTCTGTTCACACAGGCATGTGTTAAGATGGGAAAATCAGCACTTTCCACCTCAGGAGTGCTTCCTAACACCCAGGGCAGAAAGGATGCACCAAGACAGTCCATAGTCATAGTCAAGCCAACGGTCTGTGTTTGCAGCTGTAGTCCCATGATACTGCTCATCCAAAAGAACATCTAACTTTAGTTTAGTGTCAGACAACTGTGGGATGGTTATGGATGTGCTTCTCTATCCAGTACATACAAGCCCTGGGAATGAGTTACGGTCTGTGTTTGCAGCTGTAGTCCCATGATACTGCTCATACAAAAGAACATCTAACTTTAGTTTAGTGTCAGACAACAGTGGGATGGTTATGGATGTGCTTCTCTATCCAGTACATACAAGCCCTGGGAATGAGTAAGGCCCCTTTCGCAAGGGAGGTCTCCATTCTGATCAGCAGGGGGTCCACGTAGAGATTCCTTCCAAATCAAAGCAGGACAGAATTGAAGTCACTTTTCTGATCCGTGTCAGTTCAGTGTTTTACTCCATCTGTGATGAAGGACTAGACAGGTTAGGTCTATCAGCAGAGAGATGCGTCCATTTACATCCTCTTATCTCTGAATGGTCATGTTTAGGCCCAAAAAACAGAAAAGTACCCAAACTTTTTTTTTTGGGACCTAGACGGACATGAAGGTAATTACACGTTTGTTTACATCCACCATCACGTAGACTAACATTGAACTTCCAATCAGTTCCAGACGGGTCTAATCAGCCGTGTGAAAGGCGCCTTTAAAAGCTTGTATACTACATTAATACTGGCCATATTGACTGTATCATAAGGTTTAGCACTATGACTATTTAAAGCTGAATCTAGATCATGCAATTAGTGTCACATAAGGGTAATACAACCATATAAACAAAGAATTGGGGTCATTTGCATTTTACACAAAACAATACGATTGTTCAATATAATTATCATATTAACAAAAGAATCTTATCTTCCAAAAATCAACTGCACGAAATGATCATTCTGATCTATGAACAATTACTTTTGTTAAAAAGAGATGATTTATCCCAGCAGATAATGCAATTCATAGGGATAATCAAACAGATAATGAGTGCCCTTTATAAATTAATTAGTGGCAAAACATTCTAATAAATATGCTGAAAATAAGCATGAGATTCTTAACAGACATAGCTAGCTTGCTCTAGAAGCATAGAATGGCTGATTAAATGTATATTTTAAATGCAATTACTGTAGTGCATACATTTTACTTGGTGTCTACCTAAAACGTGACCTAATCCACTTTTGAAAGATTATAAAATTAAAGTGGATGAAGCAGAATCTCAACTTCTGCAAGCAAGCAAGTACAGTTTTTCTTAGTTTTACATTATCACGATCACAAGAAAAAAGAAGATCCACTGCCACAGTGGTTTGTCAACAGTCACTAGCTAACGTCTAGCTTTAAGGTAAGTTTGCCCTAACCCAAACCCCAACAGATAATCACAAGCCCATTTTCTAGGGATGAGCAAATCCGTTTAGGGGGGGTTTGCCAAGGGGTTGCCAAACCTTTAATTAAGCAAACCTTAACTTAGCGGCAAATCCCAATGAAGTCCAAAGCTGGCCATATACCTATTGATTTTCTGCAGATTTGCTATGGTCAGATGGAAAATGTGCAACAGATTCCTCCATCTACACTTAACTGTGTGGATGGAGGAAGCTCCCACTGGGCCAAGCTTCAGTATCTTGCCAGTCGGCCCTGCTACCTGAACAATCTGATTGGATGCAGGCATTGTCAGGTATTTTGAGAGCCAGCTGCGCCGACTAGCAAGATACTAGTCCCAGGGGGAGATTCCTACATCCACACAGTTTAGCGTAGAAGGAGGAATCTGTTGCACTTTTTCCATCTGAACATAGAAAATCTGCAGAAAATCTATAGGTGTATGGCCAGCTTAAAGGGAGTGAATCCTGTTAGTAAATGCTGCCCATTTTTGGGGCTAACAGCAAGCTATTGTCAAAAAAGGCATGGAAAGCTGGGCACTGGCATGGGGGACATGCAGAGCTGGATCACTCACAGGATCACTCACTGAAAAAACAGCTGATGTTATGAGCCAGCTTTCTTATGTTTCACAGTTCTGTCTGCTTCCAGCCCCAGTGCTCAGCAGGCTTGTCTGTGAGCCCCTGAGCTCTGCCCCTGCCATCAAACTTCAAGATGGACAGTGAGAG